CGCTCCGCTCCAAATCTAGGCTTTCCCTTTCTCTTTTCCATCCTTCTATTCCCCTCCTCCCAGTTTCCCTGCATCCCCAAAGTTGCCAGGAAGCAGTTTTACAGTTTACCCTTTAATAGCACAGGTCTGGACTCTGTTGGTCCACTTGTCTGTCAATTTTTCAATAAATATGTAAGTACTAGAACTGTTCTTTCTCTTCTATCTTACTTTATTGTAAGACTTGAGGCCCAATGCACAAAATTTGTGCACCGGGGGGGAGGGGAGGAAGTGTCCCTCAGCCCAGCCCTCTCCAATCTGGGACATCCCTCTCACAATCTGGGACTGCTAGCTCCTAACCACTCGCCTGCCTGGCTGCCTGATTGCCCCTAATTACTCTGCCTGCCAGCCTAATAGCCCCTTAACCACGATTGACACTTAACCAATCCCCTGCCAGCATGATTGACACCTAACTGCTTCCCTGCCAGCCCAATCACCCCCAACTGCCCTCTCCTACAGGCCTGGTCAGCCCCAACTGCCCTCCCCTACCAGCCATCTGTGACAATGTGGGGGTGACCATCTTGTGATGACATGGGGTGGCCATCTTGTGATGACGCGGGGGAAGCTATCCTGTGACGATGAGGGGGTAGCCATCTTGTGATAACATGGGGGAGCTATCTTGTGATGTGAGGATGTGAGGGTCAATTTGCATATTACCTCTTCACTATATAGGATTATCTATATATATAAAAGCCTAAGTGTCTGTTACAACCAGTTGGCCAGTCGCTATGATGATGCTCTGACCAGTCGCTATGATGATGCTCAACATAGGAGCTGCCCTCTGGTGGTCACTGTGCTCCCACAGCCAACCTCCCTCAGCCAGCCAAACTCCTGTGGTCCCTCCCCCTGCTGGCCAGCCCCAGTCGGCCCTGATCGCCATCCAGGCCGAGGGACCCCTCTCCCCCCCCCCCCGTGCATGAATTCATGCACCAGGCCTCTAACAGTATATAGTGCTTACAACATACCAAATAAATGTTCATCAACTGTGTATATTTTTTGAAAAGCTTCCAGTCAACAGCAGGCTATTAGTCAAGTTTTGGGGGCATCCAAAGTTGTATGTGGGTTTTTGGCACCCCTAACCCCCCAAGTTGTTTATGGGGCAAACTGTATGATAATGCTTTCCAAAGCATTCACTCATGACTGCTTGGCACATGGTATCCTTATTGATGAATATTCAGTTCTCTTCAGACGATTCAGAAAAGGTCATTTCTGAGAATTTACATACCTGATAATGATCAAGTCAGACATAAAGATGAGATGGAAAGTCTTGTACTGCCTCTTGTTGGAGCTTGTGAGACTCTGACCAGGCTGTGCTCTTCATTCTCCAGAGTTCAGTAGTCTCTATGTGCAGTTTTGCATTGGATATGTGGCAACAGGGTGCCCTCTTGCATCAGGTTAACTCTGATTATACCACCCTCCCTTTGTTAACATTGCATTTTGCCTCTGGTCGGTGAGTTGACAGGAGGGAATTAATATTTCTTTTATTTTTTTTAATATATTTTATTGATTTTTTTTTTTACACAGAGGAAGGGAGAGGGATAGAGAGCTAGAAACATCGATGAGAGAGAAACATCGACCAACTGCCTCTTGCACACCCCCTACTGGGGATGTGCCAGCAACCAAGGTACATGTCCTTGACCAGAATCTAACCTGGGACCTTTCAGTCTGCAGACCAACACTCTGTCCACTGAGCCAAACTGGTTTCAGCTAATATTTCTTAATTGCTTAACTGTGTGCCAGGATTAGGGCCTGGTTTTTTTAATTTTATTTTTATTTTTGTTTTCTTTATTGATTAAGGTATTACATATGTGACCTTATCCCCCATTGTCATGTATTCTCCCCCCCCCTCCTCCCCCTCCCCCCCCCACACACACACTCAAGCCTTCATCCCCCTGTTGTCTGTATCCATTGGTTAGGCTTATATGTATGTATGCAAGTCCTTTTGACATTTCTCCCTCCCTTACCCCCACCTTCCCCTACCTCCCTTCTGAGGTTTGACAGTCTAATCAGTGCTTCTCTGTCTCTGGATCTGTTTTTGTTCAGCATTTTCTGTTGTTCATTATATTCCACAAATGAGTGAGATCATGTGATATTTATCTTTCTACAACTGACTTATTTTGCTTAGCATACTGTTTTCCAGGTCCATCCATGCTGTTGCAAATGGTAGGAGTTCCTTCCTTTTTATAGCAGCATAGTATTCCATTGTATAGATGTACCACAGTTTGTTTGTTTTTAAAATATATTTTATTGATTTTTTTTTTATAGAAAGGAAGTAAGAAGGATAGATTATTAGAAACATCAACCAGCTGCCTCCTGCACACCTTCTACTGGGGATGTGCCCGCAACCAATGTACATGCCCTTGACCGGAATCAAACCTGGGACCTTTAGTCCACAGACCGACACTCTATCCACTAAGCCAAACCGGTTTTGGCATGTACCACAGTTTTTTAATCCACTAATCTGCTGATGGGCACTTAGGCTGTTTCCAAATCTTAGCTATTTAAGGGCCTGGTTCTTCATACATGCTATCTCAATCCTCAAACCAGCCTAGATAGATAGTATTATTCTTTTTCTTTTTTTAATATATATTTTTATTGATTTCAGAGAGGTAGGAAGAGGGAGAGAGAGAGAAAGAAACATTAATGATGAGAAAGAATCATTGATCAACAACTGCCTCCTGCATGCCTCACACTGAGGATCGAACCCGCAACCCAAGTATGTGCCCTGACTGGGAATTGAACCTTGACCTCCTGGTTCATAGATTGATGTTCAACCACTGACACATGCTGGCTGGATGGTAGTATTATTTTTATTTAATACAGAAAATAGAATCTCAGATATCTTAACAAATTTACCTAGGGACACAGAGGTAGCAGTATATTCCAGATTGAACCAAGGCCTATCTCCACAGTCATTGATTTTTCATTACACCAACTGCACTGACAGCATAGGGTCCTGGGTTTCCATAAGGACTAAGCCTGGAATAAGGTCCTTATCTTCTAGCCTGCATGGCTTCATTATTCCTATCCAGGTGAAGCTGGTGTAACAGGAGCGTCAAAGATAATCCTGACAGGAAAAATAGGTTGTCATACGAGTGGGAATCTAGAGGAGAATAGGATGACAGAAAGAAGGAGCAGTCCTTACACTGTGTTCGGGCATAGAGTGGGATTGGTGGAAATTGACTACCATGTAGATGTACAGTGAACCTCAAGAATATTTAGCCTCAGTCCAAAGGCTACATAGCAAACCATCTCCGTAGGTCCTAGCCCCAGCAGCCAGGCAAAATTATCTACTTGGTGCACTAGAAAATTAAAAAGCTTCCAGAAGTGATATAAAATTAAAAAAAGAAGAATATGTGGAGTAAAGTTACCAGTTGAGAAGATTGGGCTCACGAGGTTCCTTTCTGTGCACAGGGCCATACGGACATCGTTCAGCAGTTATTTACTGAGCTGCCACAAAGCACCAGGGACTCTGTGGAGCTGAGAGGGAGGCCTTGGGAAATTTATAGGCTGATGGGAACAAAATAACAACAGGCACCTGCCACATCCAGTGGAAACATTGCACTGACGGGGTTCTACTCTGGTCCATCATTGGGATGCTTTGTGGCCCTGAGCGAGTTCTCTTTTGCCTCTGGATTTTTTTCTCATCTGCAGAGAGATTGTACCTTGCAGGAATATTGCAACAGCAGATGTGTGTAAAGTACCCGTGACATGTAACAGAGTTGAATAAAGGGCCACCATTTGATTACTAAGTGCTGTGAAGTGCCTGGTCATCCTTACTGCGGGGGCAAGGCACCTCTCACCAAACCCCAGGGGAAAAAGAGACTCATTTCAAATAAATGCAGCACGTTTATGAGCCAAGTGGTCAAGCAGAAGATTGGGGTCAAACCTAGGGCAAGGACGTCTGAAAAAAGAGCCCAGGCTAGCCTGCCAGCCAGAGACCCAGGAGAGCCATGGGGGCAGGCTCAGTGGGAGAGCAGGCCCAGCAGGCCAGGGCCGTCTCTGAGCTCCTCCACTGACTCAGACCAGCGAATCAGGCAGGAAGCTGTGTATCACAGGTGGGGTTGAGGTCCCCACAGAGAACAGATAAGAGCAATCCCTGTCCCAAAAGAGTGAACCCCGTGTAGTAGGTGTGGTGGACAAGTGAAGAGCACCAGAGGTTGAGAGCTCAGACTGGGTTTTCCACGGCGGGTGTGAGAGGAAACCAGATCTGAATCTCCCAGCATCCTCACGCTTACGTATTCCTTGCGATGATTTTTATTAAAAATAACATTTGCCTGGAATGATTATCTTTAGAAATGCAGAAAATATGAATAACGAAGTCACCTATAACCTCACCATCCAGGCGTGACCATTGTTAACATTCTTGTGTTCCTTCCAGCCTTGATTCTGGTACATATCAATATACACCCACTTGTTCATTTAAATAAAACGGGATTAGATAATAATTAAAGTTTTGTGAGATTTATTTCACTTAAGATGTCATTGCCTGTTTTTATTTTACATCATTTTAATGGATGCATGGTATTCTATTGTATGAATTTACATAATTCCTCACTGTGGGACATTTACCCTTTAATTTTCTCCTGTGATAAATGATGTGATAAATACTTTGTTGGTAAGTCTAAGGAGACGTGCACAATTCATCAATGAAATAGATGGCTAGGTCAAAGGATATGCATAATTTTAAAAGCTTTTGATTTCAACAAATTGTCTTCCCAAAAAACTTGTATAAAATTGACAGTCCTGTTGACAAGTCTGTGCAAACATTCATCTTCCCAGAGTGTCAACAGCAGTGGGTAATACCAGGACAGGGGAGGGCCTCTAGTTCGGTAGGTGAAAATGCTGCATGTTTTCATTTTATGGGCCGTTGATTTATACAGGTGACTCCACCCTCACCCCCATCTCCCTTGCATTTGCTGTTCCTTCCTCACTCCCTGATAGTGGTTTTCTATTTTTTGCAGTATTGCTGGGAGCCTGGTGTATTCCTACATCACTTTCTCTGAAGAGCAGCTGAGCAAACAGTCGGAGGCCAGTAGCAAGCTGGACATCAAGGGGAAAGGAGCGGTATGACCAGAGGATGGCTTCAGCGACGTAGGCCTGAGACTTTGGTCCGCTTGGAACACTGGCAATTCTCACACAGACATGGAGGTGTCTCGATTATGGAGAAAATACCCTTCCTTTGCACTTACACAATCTGAGGATTGATTGCTGCCTTTTAACATTTTATGAGAGAAACTTATAATGGACTCTATTTTAATTGTGCCATTTGAATTAATTTATATCAGACTGGAAAATGCACCGGGCTTTTTAATTTATTTTTCTTCTGTGCCGACAGTGAACCACCCGAGTTTGGAAACTGTTGCATTCCATATTTTAATACCCAGGTATCCCTGAGAGCTGCATCTATAACGTGCTCCGAGCCTCTTTGTCCACGTCGCTGCTGCGTCTGGAGGCAGGTCCAGCCTTCCTTCTGCGGGGGATGCAGGGGAGTCCGGGCAGTGTCTCTTCTCTGAATTACATTTCTTAACGATTGCATTTTCTTCCTAAGGATAGCATCGTCGCATTTGCCAAAGGCTACAACTTTGGCTCAAAAAAAAAAAAAAAAAAAAAAATAGGTGGGGCTGTGAGGTGTATTGCTTTGTATGTGGGCTTTCCTGAGAAGTCCTGGGATGAGCAGAGTGCATTCCTTGAAAACTTGCTGTTGCCTCTGGGTTGTGTGGCAGGGGGATAATGAAGTGCTGGAGGAAGCACTTATCTATCTGCTTCGTTCATTCACCTAACATGTGGTGAGTGTGTAACATGTGCCAGGCCTTATCCCTAAGTGCTGGGGATACAGAGAGGTTTTCTGGAAGTCGTTGAATGATCTCACCTCGGCCGTAGTGACCGAGTGAGGTTAGACAGGAGAACTTAGCTTGATCCATCCATTCGGCACCTGTGACTGAGAACAAGTCGTAGAACTTCATTTCTCTGACACTGCAAGTCTGCGGGTGGGGTGGGGTTGGGAGCACCCGTCCCACCCAGCCCACAGTGGTGTGAAACCACACACCGAGGTGTGAGGTCAGATGCGCGTGAAGAAGTGCATTTTGTGAACCATGCAGCGAGGCTCTTCCCTGAGTGAGCATGGCAGGCAGGCCAGGTGACCCCTGTGTCCTTCCCCTGCCTCCCTTCTCTGCTACTCTTCTTACCCCTCTTTAAATCAACATGCCTGGGTCTTACATTCCTGAATGGATTGGCTTGAGGGGAAAGGCTGGTTAGGGGTGTGTGTGTGTGTGTGTGTGTGTGTGTGTGTGTGTGTGTGTGTGTGTGGTTGAGGTCTGATTGGTGTGAGAGCTGTCACCTTCTTGCTCCTGATGGCAACCTCTCTCCGGTAGCCACTCCAACCTACATTCTGCCGTCCTTGTCCTTCCGCTGACGTACTGAGGACACCAGCTTCTCTCAAGCCCAGTGCTGCATTCTGGGAGAATGACATTGAATTGCCTCTTTGGGTGGGCTGGGGTGTTCAATTCAGACACAGCTGCTGACTTCGGGGATGAGTGTTTGCTCAGCCAGTTGTGCAGTGAGTATGTAGGAGGCCGGGTGCCTGGTGCACACACTACCTTTAGTTCATCGGATGTGGAATCCACTGGGCTCCTCTGATCTAAACAATTGGTGTCTCAGCATGGCCCCTGGAATGTTTTGATCTGTTGATATTTTTGATGGAGGTCATATTTATGCTTTTCCCTTATTTTGCTTTGTCTTTATTAAAGCCTGGCCAGTGGTGCTGGGTCCCCAGAATTAGCCTCACAGCCAACTTCTAAGTTATAAGCTCCATGTAAGAGTTCCTAAAGCTCACTACTCCTCCCCCCCCCCCCCCCCCAAATCAGCTGATCTGAGGAAATTCTGTGGGAGCATAGGACATTATCTTCTGTAAGATGGTTCTTACTGTCCCTGTCTTACCAATGAGAAAACAAGACTCAATAGAAGTAGGTGATTTGCTAATTAGTCTAAACATACATTTTTTCCATTGTACCTTGCTGCCATAAATTACCTGTCCTATAAGAGGGAGTAAGGAAAAGGTGGTGCTAGCTGGATTAGCTTGAGGCAAGCAGTCGATTGAATTTTAGTTAGAGAGGAATAGGCTTTGCACATCAGGGAGAATGACGGATCCCTCTACATGCCAGAGCTCTCTTCTAACTCCCAGGCTGGCCCCAGCCTATCCACACTCTGGCTGTGACTGCTGCCTGTCACTGCTTGGGTTTGCCTGGGCACAGTGGAAAGGCATTGTGAGACCTAATTTTAGCAGTTCTGTTCCTTTTCCTACTAGCCACATGAAAGAAAGAACTTGGACATTAGAAATAGTTTGTGTTGCAGAATTTCTCATCATGAAAGGCCTTTGGATGTGTTTAGAGGTGTTGAACTAGAACCCCACCAGGACTTGAATTTCCTCTTGGGGTTCGGTTTCCTTGAAGATCCTCCATCTTTCCAGGTTAATATGGGAAAATCATGTATAAGTTACAGCTTTGCTAAATGCACATGGTCTCAGGGCCCCTACCCTCTGCCGAACTGACTGACCTGTAGGACAATTTATAGATCCTGTCCTGTACCTGCTCTGATTTCTGGATGCCCCCTTCAACTGCCATCCACATTTCAGGGTAACAGGAGGCAGCCTGGGGAAGTTGGGGTCTATCTGAGAGCTCTGTCTGAGCAGGGACTGAACTGGCCAGCCGTTTTTGGAGTTTGCTTCCATTATGTGCCCCTCGGTTACAGCAGTACGCTAAAGACTTACCTAGTGCTATGGCATCACCCGGCTGTCTGGAGTGTATCCTGAGGTTGATATTTTGCAAGATCGAACATTCTCTGACCTGTTAACTACCTCCTGGGAGGAAAAAGCGGCAGTGTTGAGTTTAGTCTGTAATGTGCTCTGTGAGACAGCTGTGGAGAGAATTCTTTTAAAGCAAAAATCTCTGACTACTAGCTTGTCTTTTTGAGTTAATGACAGTAGAGTCCTCTTTGGCCAGTTTGCTTTTATCAGTGCCAGATTGATTCGAATAACTTTGGTGGATGAGGCTACACATTACCAATATAACATGTCCGGTGATTTTTAATCACCTCATATGGCTGTTGACTTTATGAATCAGTCATTTGTAGGATCCATCTTGCGTATAGGTCAAAAGTTTTTGGTAGTCCTATTGTATCAGAAATCCATGGAACGTTCAGGTCAGTAAAGCTGATATCTGATCTTCATGGAAAGAATAAGAGGATTTCACTCATTTGACTGGTTTGGAGTAGTACCTAGGAATTTAGGCCTGCCTTTCCTTTGATATCATGGCCTTAGTCAGTGAGCAAAGATTTACTGTGCATCTTTTTAAAAAATATATTCATTCTCCAGAGTTCAGTAGTCTCTATGGGCAGTTTTGCATTGGATATGTGGCAAATTAATATTTCTTTTTTTAATATATTTTATTGAATTTTTACTGAGAGAAAGGGAGAGGGATAGAGAGTTAGATACATTGATGAGAGAGAAATATCATTCAGCTGCCAACCAACATACATGCCCTTGACCAGCACTGAACCTGAGGCCCTTTAGTTCACAAACCAACGCTCTATCCACTAGAGCCAAAACCGGTTAGGGCACTGTGCATCTATTTTAAGCCAGTTGTTATGCTCAGTGTTTTGTTTTGGGTGGCAACATTATGCTCAGAGACTAAGATTGGTTTGCCAGTATTTTATTTCACACATGTTCACTGTGGGAATTATAAAAATTTCCTAAGCCCATAACAAAACAACATGCTCCGAAGCAATGATAGATTAGTTGCACTATTGTTCCAGGCAAGGGAAGGCGAGTGAAATAAAGCCCAAATCTAGCTGAGGTGTATCTTTTCTGTAAGGTGGGTTCTTGGGAGAGACAGCTTCATCAACAGGGTGCCTTCCGGCTGCCAGCACAAAACGCATCTCTGGTTGCTAAGGCAGATTGTTGGGGAATGATGGCACTAATTGGCCGGCAAGAAGTCCTCTGAGAGGCTGCTCCAGGCTCTTGTCACTGCTGGTCAGAGTCTCCATTACCGTGGGGAGCTAGTCTCCTTGCCCAGAGAGAACTTTCTAATAGACCTCATAAACTCTGCACAAACACGCAGGCTGTGTATCGTCTAAGTAGGCCTTCACCAATTGCTTCCTCTTGGGGTGTTTTTATTGCTAGGGCCCCAGGGATGCTCCTCAACAGCTGAGATAATATGATCATGACCCATCTTACTTCTCCTTTATATCAAAACAGCTTTACTCTTTAAAAAAAAACCAAAACATATTTTTATTGACCGGAGAGGAAGGGAGAGGGGGAGAGAGATAGAAACATCAATGATGAGAGAGAATCCCTGATTGGCTGCCTCCTGCACACCCCCTACTAGGATTCTAGCCTGCAACTCAGGCATGTGCCCTTGACTGGAATCGAACCCGGGACCCTGTAGTCCACAGGCTGACGCTCTATCCATTGAACCAAACCAGTTAGGGTAGTGGTCGGCAAACTGTAGCTATGTGGCTTGCGAGCCAAGGTTTGCCACTCTGTTGACTAATGAGTTTGCCGACCACTGACCTAGACTCTTGATTCCAGTAATTACAGGCTGTTGTTGTCCTTTGTGATTAAACCCCTATCCCAGTGGTTGGCAAACTCATTAGTCAACAGAGCGGCAAACCACGGCTTGTGAGCCGCAGTTTGCCGACCACTGAGCTAGGGCAAAGCAGCTTCACTCTTAAAACAACTTTAATTTTGTCATAAACAAGTAAAATTGAAATCCTATCAAAGCAACAGACAACACAGAGCTCTGGGGAAACTGAGATGACTAGGACATGTTTCTTGCTTGTATTCTTTGGCAAGACCCTAACTGAGAGAAGCAGTTGAAGGAGTCAGTGATTTATCAGTATCAGTACCCATAAAGCTGAAGCTTTTTTTTCACTCTCAGAGGACTATTATGATTTATACTAGTCTTTTAGCTCTGAGATGTGCCAGGCTATTAGAATTCCATGACTACCCTGAGTCCCTCCTCCATTAACTGTGTGTTTTCTTGCTTCCCCATAACATTGTATGATTAGTTCCCTCC